GCTCGTGCAGCTGCACCATCGCAGGCGTACGCTTGCCCTCTCTCCCGCCGCTACGCTTGCTACTTCTGCTGCTGGTGGGGGCGGTGGTGTCAGCGGCAGCGGGGCAACGGCGGCGCACAAGTCCGTGCCACAGCCCCGCATACTCCTCTACGGTGCTGCTGCCGTCAGCGGTGCTGAGCGTAGCCACCACCTCGTCAAACTGACCACCAAAAAAACCCTTGCGAAGAAAGGCAACCGTTGCGTGTGCGGGAGAGCAGAGGTCCTGTAACTGCACGACACCGCCCAATTCAAGCCGTGGAGTGCCCGCCACAACACCCGACGCGTACGCGTTGGGTAACGTAAAGCTGCACGACCAACCAGTGCGTGGAAACCGCACCACCACCGACGAGCAGCTCACGCTTGCCACACAGTTGAGCGAGAGCATCTTGCTGCGCGGAAGAAACACACCCTCAGCCACTATGAGGTCAGGGAGCTCGGCGTAGAAGGCGCTTACAGGGGGTCGATGGCAAACCTGCTCTGCGAGGAAGCGCATGCACGGCAAGCCATTCGATAATGCTGGTCTTGCTGTTGATGTTGCCACCTCCAGAGCCACCGCTGCCGCCGCTCCCTCCCCCTCCTCATCCCCATCTTGGCGTTGCTTCTGAGGCTGAGGCTGAGGCTGCGGCTGCAGCCGCGACGCACAGACGGGCGCAGGGCACTTGCATTGAAACACCTCGCCAAGGATCGGGTTGTACGGCTTGCGTGCCACTCCCTTAGGTCGCCAGCTGTACGCGGCGACAAACCACCGCAGCATCACCCGCATTCGGTCCACGGAATCCTGCACTTCTCCCAGTGCAAGCGGCAGGAGGAGGTCCCAGCAGACAAACATGTCGGAGAACATCTCCAGCAAAGAGCGGCTCTCCAAGATGTGGACCGGTAGTGTAATAGAGCTGAGAGACCGCCCAACTTTTATTGATTTCATCACCTGAAATATGATAGCACCCTCAAATTTTAACGATTTCGCCAATACTTCGAAGGAGTTGTTAGTATTGTCATCAAGCGGATCGCACTCGACACGTTCTACTGCACTCAGTGGCATCACAGGCTGTGTGCAGTCACCGCAGCTGCCGCTATTATCGACTTCATTCACATACAACCCCGCCTCGTCCTCTTCAGAAACAGCACTCCAAAAACTTGATCGCCGCGTTGTCGCACCACGCGTACCTGTTGATGAAACTACTACTCCTCCAACGTTCGCTGGTGTAGAGCACATGCTGTAAAAGTCCGTGTCCACCGGTGGCGATTCCCCTGCACCCGTGGAGAGAGACATGTTGCCGAAGAGCCCACGCACAAACCCCGTTGCGCGGGAGCCGGTCTCTGCAGGAAACTGAAGCACGGAGTTTAGCTTTTGCATGTAGCGGTAACGTCGACTAAGTAAGTATTCCTCTAGCAAATGACTTTTAGAACCCGGCTCCTCGCCGTCGTCAGCTGCACTAGTGTCGCTGTCCCAGTGGCCAATGTCCGTCTCACCACCCATGGCGCCACCACCGTAGCTGATGTGCGGCATAACGCCTTGCCGCCGCAACTCTGCCGCAAAGCCGTAGTAGAGCTGCTCGACCGCCACTTGGAGCCGGTCGACTTCATTCACGCTGAATGCAGGGAGGCGCTCCAGCCGCCTGAAGCTGGCGGGGTCACCAGTCACAACGAGCGCGTCCTCTGTGAGCAGCAGCGAGAGCTCCCTGATGCGTGCACCCACCATGCACTCCATCAGCAGCACCAGTGCAACAGTCTCAGCAGCCATCACGGCGCCTATCACGTACAAGTTGGCGTGGGGCACACCGTGGATGTGCTGCGGCAGAAAAATAATGGCACACATCAAGGCGCCCATCATCGCGAGCGTCACCACAGTGATGAGCAGCCACAACGGAATCATGGATGTGTTCGGCACGCCGCTCCCCGCCATCGTAACAGGATGGATTCCACTCCAGTGTGTACGCGGCTCCCACGCCGCTTCGCCTTCCACCTCCTCTTCGTGCTGCTTTTGCTGCTGGCGTTGGCCGGGTCCAAGCAGGCACAGCCAAAGCTGTGCGTACAAGAGGGAAAGAAGAGAAGAAATACCAAAAAGAAAGAGGGTGTACAAAGACAAGGTCACACACACACACACATAGGGTGTCAATTCCACCTGGGAATGTGAGGGGAACAATGTCATCCTCCTCTCGCCTCCTTCCTCCATTACACACAGAACTCAATAAAGACGCCTCACGCTGTCACTGTACGTGGAGGGAACTTCGCCGCAAGATCAGTGTTAAAGCAGCCCACGAAACAGCGCGCCGGAACCCGGTCGCTGCCATCAAAGTCAGCCAAATCAAAGTCACAGCGGTCAAACACCACGCATGTGGAGCCCGCCTTTGTTACAGCAGCTGTTGATGCCTCGCTTGCTGCAACGCGCATCGCGATGCTGGCAAAGCGAAACGAGCACCCCACGAAACGAACATTGCCGGTGCAGCGCAGCTCCTTCAGCACGCAGCCATCGAAACAGCACTGGGTGAACACCGTATTGTGGAAGATAGATGCGTAGAAGAGGCTGCGGGAGAAGTCCACTCCTGTCGCGCGCACCGACAGAAACGACAGCGTCGAGAAGTCGCACTGGCTCAGGCACTTCTGCTCAATGCACACACCGCGCAGGGTTCCGTCGGGGAGGACCGCCTTTACGTCGGTGCCGCGCAGCAGCAACTCCGAGACGGCGCGATTCGCGACGGTCGCCTCACTCGTCATGACGGCACACAACGCTGCGGCGAGCGCAGTCGACGCATTGCCCGAATCGCCACACGCCACAACGCTTCGCATGGCGTGGGCGAACGAAGACATTCCACCACTCGAAACGTTTTCAGATTGCAGCTGATGCCCCTGTTTTAATTCGTCGTGGTGCAGTTCTTGTTGAGGCAGCGGGTCGAGAGCGGCATCCATGCAGTCCTCTGATGACAACTGCGTTTGCCACGACTCTGTGTCATCGTTCAGGCCCATCAAGTTGCCACCGCTGGTGCTGCTACTAATTTCCGGCAAGGGCACAGACAGGGCGTTGGCCTCATCCCGGAAGAGGGCCCCCGAGAGCTGCGCGAGCAACTGCGCCTCCTCCTCTGAAACGCCACTCCCTGAGGCCCCGGAGGAGCTCGCCGTTACCGCAGTGTGAAGCCAGCGATAATAGCAACAGCAGCGCACCACCTGTCTTCGCGAAGAAGAAGAAGAAGCAACAGCAAAGGCGGCAGCAACGCGCCTCATTTTGTTTTGTCCTCTTTCGTGTATTTAATGTTCTGCTTACTTCCGTCCCAGTCCTCTGTGTCCAGGCGAGTTGCGGTCGGGAGAGGCCACAGGACAGCAGTGCCGCCCCTCACACTTCCCCTACGCGGGAGTCACAGCTCTTAAGAGCGGGCGATGAGGAGAGAGAGATAAAGAGAGAATAGGGGGGGGGACACGCACACGCAAGAGAAAACATGGGAAGAAGAGCAACAGAAAAAAAAAGACACGCCGCCAGTGGAGGGGAGATGGGCGGGATCAGAGAACAAAAGTTTCAAACACTAAATAATATATATTGAGTGTTAAATTACCTCACCACACGTGTGTTTGTGAAAAGGGCAGAGTCTCTTCAATCAAACACAATGATGGAGAAGCACTGCAAGAATCTTTTCGTTGTTGTTGTGGTGGTTTTTTTTTTTGGTCCAAGGGGCGTTTGAGGCGTCGCATTGGACTCTAAAGCAGACTCCTCGCAGAACGCACAGACACACACACACACACACAGACAAGTCCTGCGCAGTAAAAACACACCGAATCATGCATATGTATCAACATGTTGGTACGCTGTGTGTGTGTGTGTGTGTGTGTGTGATTTGCTTGGGGCGGAGCACAGGCGCAGACATCTTAAGATCCGCGGGTCCCAACGCCGTCTCACCAAGTGAGGAGAGGAGACAGAAGGTGCGCGGGACAGATATGGGCCAACAGGCAGACAAGAATGAAAGGATGAATGATCGATTGTTCGATTCATTGCTTCGAGTGAATTGAAATGAGAACAATAATGAAAATACACAGGCAACGAAATCAGATAAAAACAACAACTCCCATTCCTTCACGGATACCTTCAGCCCTCCCTTCTGTACACACGCACGCCCCCTGAAACACACATGCACACACGCACGCACATAAACGGGAGAGACAGAAGGGCAGTCAGGCAGATAGAAAGAGCATGATACGTGGTATTCCCAATAATGCGAATCGTCGTACTAGAAGAACACAGCCGCGACACATGCTGTTGCCGAGAGCTTGACCACTGAGCATTACGCACACACACACACACACACACACACACACTCACTTACACGTAAGAGGAAGCGCCAGGTGACCTACCATACCTCTCGCCCAGAAGTAAATTACTCACCACGCACGAACTCGGCGGCGCGGCGCAGCGGTGTGATGCGCACCTTTGTGAAGGGCATCATCTCACCGTCCGACATGATGTTCCCTTCGAGCGCCTCCAACTCAAGCGCTCGCGCCTTGATATAGCTTACAAACGGCAGCTCCACGTGGTTTCCCGACTCCAGCTTAGTAAAGAACTTGAGGAACTCCATGCGCCCGTACTTGAAATCTCCTTCCTTATTGAACACGATATCAATGGCGCCATCGCTCATGTGAGCACGGGGTGCCATTACGACATCTCTCGCGACACTACGGATGTTGCTGATGAATACATTGTAGTGGCTTCCGTCGAGCGTCACCCACGGCAGGTTCGGGTCGTCAAAGTCGTCGTGATGATGCTCCTGATGATGCTCCGAAGACAACGGGAACTCACCACCTGGCGCAGCTTCCTGAGAAACTTGTGGCACATTCTGCTCAGAGGCAGTAGTAGTCACATTGCCTTTGAAATTGGTGTGAAGTTGACAATGGGTGCATGTACTCCGCGTTGTGCAGGGTGGGAGCTCCACTTCGCTTGGAATCGATTCGTGCCCTTGGACTTTCTGCAGCTGCTGCCCATGTTTCCCCCGCCATGGCAAGTAGCGAAGCCGCAGACGATAGGAACGCAACCCTCGGCAGAAGACGTAAGATGCATAGGCAGTGAACCGAGTGCTTCCCATCCAGCGTAATGACTCTGACCCACGGTCAATTTCATTCACTACGCCAAAAGAAGTTGTCATGAAGGCGATTCGCTCAGCAACGTCAGGAACCGTTGATTCACCATCAACGCGATACGACTTTGCATTACCGGCCGTGTCGGGGAGGACCAAGTGGGTAAATGGTTCGGAATTTTCATTATTTGTTTTCTTGCTCTTGCCGCTGCTGTTCTTTCTTTTGTTAGCCTTCGTACCCTTCTGTTGTATCACGTATTGCATGCGCATGAGATCCTTCACACACGTGTCGAGGTGCACGAGAGCAAGGATGCTCTCTGCCACAGTGACGACGTTGAGGGTCTTTGCCATTCCACATCCACTCCCAGCAGGAATAGTAGCGATGAGTGGCATCGGCGTCAACTCCTCGGAGGAACTTAACACGTCAAGTTCAAGATCCGACTGCCTTCGCGGTGACTTACCCACGCTGTCTGCGTGGGAGTCTGTCTCGCCGTTCTTTTCGTCAGCTTCCTTCGGTTGGCTGGTGCTTTCTTCCTCCATTCCTCCTTCTTTCGGCCCCTCGTCTTGTCGCTGTTTCACTGCGTGATCCACCTTGGCCTGCATGGAGCTCCTGCCCAAAGCAGCATGTTTGCGCCGGTAGAACCCATTCACCGCCTCGTGAATCATACCGTCGCCGCCGACACACACGATGACATCGCGACCCGTCACACTGTTGGCAGTGTCTGCAATGTAATCCTCACAGTGGTGGGCGCGATCCGTGACAATCACCTCCAGCTCATGACGGGAGAAGCGCAACACCGGCATTACGTGCCGCTTGCATATCTTTATCGCATCCCCGACGCCTGACTTGGGGCTTACAAAAAACCGCAACTTCCGCTCCCCACCATGGTACACATCGCGGAGGATTGTCTGCACGACGCCCCGTGTCTCGCGCTGGCTCTCGAGGTCCGGCATCGACACAAACTCAATGGTTGAGAGTGACTTCGGCGTGCCAGTGGTCTTGCGCAGGTAGTGTAGGAAGTACAACTTACCACTGACACCAGAAGCCCTGCTGCTCTCGTTGTTGTTGTTGCCGCTGCCAAGACTTCCCGCCAACCGTCCCAGCGCTGCGGGCTGCCCTGTGCTGGTAGTGTGTGAGTGAAATCCACCGGTTAAAGAAGACTTTGAGACGGCACAAGAGTCTGGATGGACCGTCTCGCTCGCGTACATAGGCGGGATTCTCTGCGAGTTGCTCGCCGTGTCCTTTGTGCTTGCCGTGAGGAGTCCGCTCTGTCGTTCTTCCTCGTTGCAGCGGCGCAGCTGCCGCAGGAGTCGCTCGTCGGCAGTCTCCACGTTGACGACAGACCACATTGGAATGTTCAGGATGGTGACGACACCCCCACTGCGGTCCCTGTGCTGCAGAATGACGCGCCTGCGCTTTGGGCTATACGCCAGCGTCGCGTCCTTGCCGCGGTACCGCACCCGCGTCACGGATTCGTCCGCGTGGCCCCCAGCGTCGCTGCCGGCGTGGTGCTTCTTCGCCTTGGTGTTGGTCATCGCCGTCCGCAACGCAATCGCAGCCACCGAGATACCGAGAGGGACTGGGTGTAAGGCCTCTTTCCCTGATATTCGCTTTTTGTTCCTTTTTTTTTTTT